AATTTTTCTATTGATTTTGAAGTAATGAAATAAGTCCTCAAACTTCATGCCAAAATTTTGTCCATTTGGGCGTTAAAGTGTTAACAGTATTATTTAAGTTACAATTGCCAATTGAAAGTAAAATATTAATATTTTACGTAATTATTTCGTATTGCTAAAACAGATGATGACTAAAAAATTTTTACTTCCTGAATAAGATTTATTATTTACAGTCAGGTCTCCAAATTGTAACACTTGAGACTGCGACAAACTTAGAACTGTAACAACTAGTTACGCCCACACACGGCTGTCTTAAAGCTAGGGAATTCCATGCAAAAATGACCAGTAAAACTGGACCAGGGAATATGTTCGGTGTAACGTAAATATCACAAATTCGTTTGATTTGAAATCCTAGCTGATCGGTTAAGCGAAATATCGCAAATTTTTCATAATTTGCGATAATTACGAGAAAATTTTAACTTACTATTTAAATAATTTTATTTTTATTTTACATTAAATGCCCCAGAGTCCGTTAAGCATTGTCCGGGAGCAAAATTCAGTCCAATCTACTTTTTTGAGATTAAGTTTATTAGTAGTGGATTTGGTAAATTTAGGGGAGAGGTCCAAGTCGACAACGACCAAGCAATGATCCGAAGAGTAAGTCTCCTCAACCACCTCAAACCGAGAAAACTGACACAATTGAGAAGAAACAAGTATCAAATCAATATTGCTGCTACTCCTATCATCGTCGCCTATATATGTTGGAATAGAATCATTTAACGGAACCAGGTCAAAGTCGTCAATCAACTGATTAAGATCATTCCCCCTAAGATTACAATAGAAGGAGCCCCAGGCCCAAGAATAAGCATTAAAGTCTCCATGGAGAATGATTGGGAATGACAGTGAACAATTGTTGATAAGATCAGACCATTGATTCGTAGGTGTCATTGAGAGAGATTTGAAATTGTAATAGGAGAAACCACTAGATCATTTCTAATTAAAATCATCACCCCACCCCCGGGCGGTCGCTCTTTCGGTCCTGGTGAAAAGTGAGGTAACCTCTGATTTGCCAAACCTGGACTCGTTTCGAGAGCCAGCGGTTTCTGTGATTACTAAAACATCTAAATTGTGGATTTATGGAGTAACGATTCAATTTCCGGCTTTTTATTAAGGACACTGTGAGCATTCCAGTTGCCATATCTCAATCCTCTGAGGTTTACAACAAAGGTCATTTGGTTAATAGTAACTAACAAGTACTAGAAAAAAATTTACTATGTGTAATTTGTTAATAAGAATGTTTTATTCAGTTAAAGGCAACAACTAAGGGGTAAAATAGACCAAAAATAAATAGAAAATGAAATAAAAACAATTCAGATGTTACCTAAACTTAATGAAGATTAAAAAAGTGAAATTTTTTTTAAAATCTTATTAAAAAAAATATATTATTATTATTAAAAAATCTAATTAAACTTTAAACGAAAGTAACACAATAAACCAAACCTTAGCAAACAATAAAACAAGAAAATGTAATGATAAATGATTCAAATATAACCCTAATTTTAGTGTAGCTTAAAATATAGTTAAACTTAAGACAAAAGTAACACACAATAACAAAACCTTAGCAATCAACAAAACGTAATGAGAGAAGCAAATTTTAAGTTTTGCAAAAAAAAACCTTGGGAAAAAACAAAAGTTTTAAAGATTTTTACGTGAGTACAATTATGTCTCAAATATAAATAGATTAAAAAGAGAATGAAATAGAAGCATGATGATAGATAGAAACAGAAAACCATACAAAATAAGAGAAATTGAATAGTAAAGCAAGTTATTCACATGAAAACAATCATTATTTCGGAAAACAAATGGGACAGAACCCTAGAGATCTTTTATAGCTGATTGTCATCCCTTTCCAGTTTTCAGTGATTGAGGAATTCGTTTAACTCTTCTTCAAGAGACCTCAGTTGAGAGATAGGGGAGGATAGGTTTTCTTGTAACGTGCCTATTAGGTTGGAGTTGGATTTGTTCAACGAGATAAGTGTGTCAACCGCAGTGAGCTGCTCCGAAGTACCCGATGGAAGTGTTAATTTGAGGGTAGATAAATTTAAGCTTTTTTGTTGGAAAGAAGATGGTTTAATTTCCCCTTGCTGATTAACTTTGTCTGTATTTCCGTGTGTGGGTTCAGGTACTGTAAGACCGTCAGAGTGGGGGAAGCATCTATGAAGGAGTCATTCCTTGAATGAATAACTCTTTCAAGATCTGGATTCTTCACGAAAAACATCTCCTTCGCCTCGGAGCGATTGCAGTTAGTTGTGTATCTCATTTTCAGTATTCTGAACTCCATCTTAAAGATGGGGCATAAATTTGATAAAGCTGGATGCTCTCTTTTGCAGTTCTTGCAAAACGGGGGCAAGTCCTTGTAGAGACATACGTTTGTCAGGTGTCTACCTGAACAGTGCTTATATGAAGGGTATGTGGATCTGCACTGGTTTCTGGTGTGGCAGAACCTTTGTCACCTAAAACACCTACGAGGCTTTTGAGTGACCGGAGTACAAATGTACTGAGAATCCTCCGATTGTAATAAATCTAGGGACAGTCAAACTATTAAAAGAAAACTTAACCCTGTCAGTGATGATATTAGGAGGCCTCACCAATCTTCTGATGCCGGAAACGCCCTTTAGCTCCTCAGTAGTGCAGACCCTATCAATATCCTTAACCGAACGCTTGGAGGGAAACCAGTCAGTAAAGCACCGCTTGTGCGAAAAGTATCTGGGATAAACATCCTGTATCCCTTGTCTCTAAGGACGGTTGAGGCGGCGAGATCTTTAGCACTCTGAAAACGTTCACAGTCGACGCTGATTTGGTTAATATTAGATCCAGAAACTTGCTTACCCCCGGTAATGAGTGGAGAGAGAAGGTCAATAACCTGAATTGGATCTAATTTGCCGAGATTGCGTTCCGAAACCGTACTTTCGATCAAAACTATAAAAGAAAAACTGGAGGCAGTATAAAGAGGGATAGAGCTGTCACTATGTCAGCCCAAATCTGATTCCTCATAGACAATAAACTCATTCGAGCCCTCTGTATCAACAGCGGGACCAGCATGGATGACCGTTTCGCTTGTTGATCTCGTTCTGGAGTTTCGCTTCCTCCGTCCAAACACGCCGCCCGGACAGGTAGGTTGGTTTGACATTTTAAATACCTGTTTAGAGAAAATTACTTTTTTAAAAAAAGTGTAAATGTTAGGATTCAATTGGAAATATCTAGGGGAGTGTAAGGTATGGTGGCGGACACTTTGTTTTTTGCGTCTCTCTCTCTCAGAAAACAATATTTTTTAAAATTTCAAAAGCAGGCAGTTGCTGACATCTATTAAGCATATTTCTGTCAGAAGCGGTTGTTAAAATTTAAATGCAGTGAAATTTTACAGCTCTTGGCGCAAAACACTGATTTTTTTTATTTTTAAAAGTTATAAGGTATGGTGGCGGATTTGGTGTATTTAACTAAAATATTATGTAGAGGTTACAATAATTTATTACAACTATTAGAAATGATTAAAAATAACAAAAAGAGAAAAAACTGATGATTTTACATTATAGAAAAAAAGTTTCACTTCTGTTATGGTTACAATTTGGACATGTGAAGTAGCTGGTAACTGTTTAACGCAACTAGAATAAGAGAAGACCGCAAGTGTCACATATTCGAGAATTGTTGCGGTGGAGCACAAGAGGCATTAGTACACAAAAAATGCAAAGACAATTGAAACTCTTGGAAAAAATGATCCGCCACTGTACGTTACAAAAATTACGCCATCATACCTTACAAGCTATTGATGGAAATATGATGGTGTTACTTTCATACAGCGCGAATTGAGAAACATGTGAAATACAAAAAACTGTTGTCCAAGGTCTAAACAATACGTTCCATACATTTACCTGACTCAATTTTAAAAAAATCTTCACTCTGGCACTGTTAACACATATCTAATAAAACTTTTTATTTTTTTTCAACACTTTTTTTATTCAAAATCACTTAAGAGTACAAAGCACGCGTTTGCTCATTAATACTACTGTATATAAAATGTCATCACGATAAAAGACATCAACCATAGTGATAAGGCGTTTCAGATGTGACGTTACATACCAGATTTGACAAGTCCGCCATTATACCTTACACGCCACGATACCTTACATTCCCCTATAATTTAAAATCTACGAACAATCAGTCTTTTTGATTAAAATGACAAATTGAGTCAATAAACGTGAAATCGAAAGATTCTAGAGGACATACTTGACGGTGAAAAAGTAGGATTGTCAAAATGCCCCCAATACGGTTCTCACCCGAAAACGTATTGGCAGAAACTCCGCTCATTTGGTCATTTTACTCTATAAAAATCAAAGCGAAATTTACAGCACAACAATGAAGAAACAAATGAGGCATTATTTCCCAAACGTCCCAGCCCAAATTTAAAAGTCTTGGGATTGGCTTGGTATTTTGGGAAATTGTTGTCCTATATGAAAGTAATAAATTTGTAAAATATTAGCTCTTTAAAAAAATTGTAGAAAGTAGTGGGGGTTAAACTTTTGACATTTTAAGTAACACTGTCGTTTTCAAAACCGTATGTTAGCAATTCAATATTATATTTAATTTGTCTTTAATGAAATGCGCATGTGACGTAAGTTTAAGTAGGAAAAAGAAGGGATATGCGTGAAAATTCAAGTTGAGTGAAATTGAAAAGCAGAAAGGTTTTGGGACTTGTACACGTATGAGTGAAAAGGCTTGTATAAGCGTACGAAACTTAAGAACTACTATTTTGTCATATTATTTTATTTTACTATTAATAAACTGTTTAGTTTAAAATAAAAGTAAAGGTGTTTTTTTTATTATTTTTAAACTAATATCTAATAAAATCAGAAGTGGGATGTTAAACTCTTGTGTAAAGTGATAGTGCTAGAAATGGTTTTCACAAAATGGCATACGAGTCAACAACTGAACCTTTTCTAGGCTTTACAACAGAGCTCTAACGAATGGAAGTATCTCAATTTACAATGGGAGATAAAGAGACTATCAACCAACTTTCCACCGAAGTGGAAAAACAAAAGTTTAGGAGAAGTGAAGAAAAAAGACATTACGAAAAGGAGATAGGACATATGAGAGCACAAATTCAACATCTAGAACAAATTAATCAACAGGGAGCTGGAACGAGTCAAGATGGCAGATCTGACGCTAGAATTCAAGCTTCCATAGCAACAGCACTTTGCTCGATTGGGGATGTACTCCATAAATTGCACGAGACTAATACGCTTGAAAAATCTGTACCAGCCGAAGTTCATCAAATTTTTGCTGATCCAAAAGGTGTTATTAGGGAATTTCATGGTATGGAGGGCCCCGAGAAGGCGCAAGCATGGCTGACTGAACTAGAAACATCTAAATCAATTCATGACTGGAGCGACGCCATAGCTTTAAGCATTGCAAAATCTCAGATGAAATCGGCAGCACAAAAATGGCTCTTATCGAAATCTTCAACTCTGAACGATTATTATATTTTTAGAACGTCATTCAAATCGACGTTTTTTTATAGTAGAAGCCCTGTCGAAAAACTTAAATCAATGATGGCTCGTATACAAGGGTACAAAGAGAGTATACAAGAATATATCATGGACAAAATATGGCTGTGTTCTGGACTCAGCTTAACAGTAGCGGAAATTGATGCCGGGTTATGGTCGAGAAATATGGCTGATCACATCCTGGGGCAAATATTCGACAGCACGGACCAGATTCTACCCGAAATTCTAAGATACGAGAGGATGGAGAATAGTCGACGATCGAGAATCAACGAGAGGAAGGGGAACGAGAAAGAACGGATTCAGAAGACATCGAGCAATCACGCAGCAGGGAAAGAGGGGAAAAGCGACTCAAAGGAAGAAGGAACGTCAGGAGAGGGAAACGAGGTATCAAAATCTAGCTGGATGAACAAGGTAAGGAAATGCTATCGTTGTGGTTCAACGAAACATTTAGCTAATGTATGTACTGGTCCGCGTAAAGAGATAACTTGGTTTGTTTGTAAACAACCGGGGCACATTTGGTACATAGTACAAATTTCAATAATTCTAATTTTGATAATTTTGTGAGAGAAATTACAATAAATGATACAAAAATAACTGTTCTTATTGATATGGGGGCTACGGTTTGTTCTATAAAAGGGTCTGTGGTTATTAACGAAAATCTTCAAATGACAAGAGAAAAGTCAAAATTGGGAGGGTTCGGTAACAGTGAAGTTTGGTCACCGGGGACTGTCACTGAAACGGTAATTCTCGACGGTTTAAATCCTAAAGTAATTACTTTTAAAGTTGTTCCGGATACCGCACAGCTCTATGATGGCATTTTAGGTCGATCATACACAGAGGCCTTGGACATTGCATATGAACGCGTAGGGCATAACTTGCATTTTAAAAATGTTGATCCTAGTATTTTTGAAAAAGAGAACGAGTCGAAAAATAAAATTTATTTAAAAGAAAACGTTGATATTAATGCGGGTAGTATAAATTTTATAAATGTGTTGTCAAACGATAAAGAATATATATTACCTGTAACAAATTTTAGCGAAAATAAAGTTCACATCAAAGCTGGACAAAAGATTGGGGGGAGTTTATACATGGTTGAGGAAAAATTCCGAGAACCAGCGAAACGTGTTAAAAATATTGATCTATCAGAAATCAAAACTGATCCAGATATCACCTCAGATCAAAAACAACAATTAATTAACATATTAAATAAATACAAAGATTGTATAGCAGATAACATTTTTAAACTAGGGTGTATTGACGTTTTGAAAATGAACATAGAATTAAAAGAAGGTAGTGAACCGTTTCAAATTAAACCCTATCGATTAAACCCGGAAGATACAAAAGACTTAGATAAAATTGTAACTGAATGGAAAGAGGCGGGAATTGCTACCGAAACTAAATCCGAATTTGCGAGCCTAGTATTCCTGAAGAGGAAGAAAGATGGAACTCCGCGTCCCATTCCTGATTACCGTAGGTTGAATAAAATTACTAAAGAATTCAATTTTCCAATACCAACTTTTGAAAATTTATTAGAAACATTATCAGATGCAAAATTCTTTGTAATTTTAGATATGGCATCTGGGTATTTGCACATACCGCTAGAGGAAAACGCAAAAGAAAAAACGGCGTTTATCACTGAAACCCAAACCGGTCAATTTGAAAGAGCCATATTTGGCTTAAAGAATGCACCAATTCACTTCGCAAAATTGATAGATAAAGTTTTAGGGATCGCTAGAAAGAAAGGAATAGCATTTACATTTTTTGACGATACTACTTGTATATACGCGAAAACATGGGACGAACTAATGATTAATTTAGAATTTTGTCTTAATTTACTAAAAGAAGCTAAACTTACCTTAAATTTAAAAAAGTGTCAATTCGGGATGAGAAAAGTAGAATATTTAGGATACGTTTTAGGAGAAAGGGTAATTCAACCGGGAGAAAGGAAAATACTCGCTATTTAAAAATATCCAACCCCGAAAAATAAACACGAGATCAGACGTTTCATGGGATTGGACAGTTTTTTTCGAAGGTTTGTACCTAATTTTGCAAAAATTGCAAGTCCGATAACTGACTTATTGAAAAATGAATTACCTTTTGTTTGGACAGAAACTCAAAAATTGGCATTTAAAAATTTGAAAGATTCATTGAAACTCGTGAAGATGAAATTTTACTTTTTCAAAGAAATGATCCAGAAATAAAAATTATTATTGATAGTTTGAAAAAAGGAGAAAAAGAAAGAAGTAGAGAAGAAAAACAACTATGTCATGACTTTGAATTAAAAGAGGTATTTTTGTTTAAAAAAATAAAACTGAATGATGAAGTTAAGGAATTGTATTATGTACCTAAAGCTATGCGTAAATCTATTGCGATAAGGTATCACGATTTACACAGCCATTTTGGTCTAGATAAAACCTTCAATCGAATCAAAGAATTTTATTATTTTCCGAAAATGCGTCGATATTTAAAAACTCATATTAAAAATTGTCTAGAATGCATCTTAGCGAAAAAGAAATCTGGTCGAAAAGAAAGGGAACTCCATCCTATACCACCAGGTAGACGGCGTGTTATGTGACGTCGAAAAATACCTGATGGTTTCTTTATGGAAACTACTCGTACTAAGCCATCAGCGCCAGGGTAGATATCTGTTACACGGGCTGATGGCTATTAGATACCGATTGTCATGAATTAGAACCAACTGACCTACTGCGAACTTTTGGGTTGAATTTCTCTATTTGGAGCGCTGTTGCAGATGATGGAAATATTCCCTAGACCATCTTTTCCAGAAATGGCTTTGTATTCGTTGCAACAGTTGGTAACGACTCAAGCGATTTTCTGGGATATTTGGTGGTTCTGAGTTTGGTACAAGACCTGAGGCTAAACCCATTAGAAAATGGGAAGAGGTCAAAATATTAATGTCTTCAGGGTCGTCAGACATTGGGTGCAACGGTCAAGAACTCTTCGAAGGTAAGCGTGTCAACCCCTCTCTAGGGGTTTCAAGACCTGGCCGTTAGTGGGAGGTGCAAGAGGGGCTTTTATCCAGTGGAAGGCTACTTCTCGATATCTCTTGTGGGGACTGAGGGGGCGAACCCTTGAAACTGGGTCGGCTGCTACAGAAACCGAATCTTCTGTGTTTTGTTAGGCAGTGTCCCAGGGCACGGGGATTTAGAGGGATATCTAGAGAGACAGGATGGACAGAGGCTTAACCGCGGGTCCATTCCGAAGACTTCTCACTGGTGGAAGTCTGACCAAGAAAAAACCCTTCCATGGTTACGTTGGCCGTGCCATGGCGATTGAGGCGCGACTCTGCCACCCAATCCGTGATGAACTCGTGTCCATGGATGAATGATACCAGGGTTACTAAATCCTTCAGGTTCTTCCGGGTTCCGCGAACTCTCAGATGTAGTTTAGCCTTTTCCTTAAATAGAGGCTCTTTAAGGATTGACCTTTCTTTCCCCTTTTCTCGTGGGACCATAATAGATACTACAGAAATTTATAAAAATAAAACCACACACGGGAGCGTCGAAAAGCCCTTTTTGGGGGATCACGATGTTGGCGATCAAGGTGTGGACGTGACAGAGGGAACCGTGAGTCAGTCTTAAATATGGCTGCTTCCGGGATCCTCTGTATACAGATTAACTTGCATCATTGTAAAGGCGTTTCAGCGATTCTAGCCAGGAACTTTGCAAGGATGCAGACAGCTACAGCTTTTGTTCAAGAACCTTGGGTTTACAAGGGTAAGATTAGAGGTCTAAGTGGCTGTGGGGTACTAGTTAGTTCACCACAGGAACCAGTTCTAAGGGCTTGCCTGATCTATAAAGGTCTAGACGCTTTCCCTCTATTGGAATTAACTACCAGGGACTTAGCTGTTGTTAAGGCTAAGTACTTGGAAAAGAACGGAAATAAAAGAGAGGTTGTAGTAGCTTCCGCATATTTTCCGGAATCGGCGGATTACCCCGCACCACCTACAGAGGTGGAGAAGTTGGTAGATTACTGTCAACGGCAAGGTCTTCCTTTGATAATAGGTTGTGATGCCAATGCGCACCATGTCGTAATGGGCAGCTCTGAAATTAACGACAGAGGCAGAAGACTTTTAGATTTTCTGATAGATACAGATTTAGATATTTTAAATCAGGGTAATGAGCCGACTTTCGTTACTGTTAACAAAAAAAACAGAAGTTTTTGCGAGGGAATCGAGAGGGTACCAGAAGCATCAAGACTTCATAAAGTACTAGCTCGAGACCCAATGGCAAAATCAACTACTATTAAGCTGCCTAATGGGCAGTATGCTCAGGATAAAAGGGAGTTTATAAAGCATCTGATGGAGGTAAACTTCCCGGAGTTTAGAGAAGGTTCGGGGAACAGCTATGGCATAGGACCAGGTAGGAACCGAGGATATCGGGAACACTGGAAACTAGCAGCTGGGGTCGTAACTCCGGAAGGGATTGATTGGGCAATAAGCACTTTCAAACCATTTAAGGCTTCAGGGGGGACGGTATATATCCGGTTCTTTTGCAAAAGGGATTGGAGTGTATTAGAGTACCCCTGTGTAAAATTATGAGAGCGTGTATAGCTCTTGGTTACACACCGGAGTCTTGGAAAAAGACGAGGGTTGTGTTTATTCCGAAGGCCGGTGGGTCTGTGTATACTGCGGCGAAGGACTTCAGACCAATCAGCTTAACTTCTTTTATATTAAAGACGTTAGAAAAACTAGTGGATAATTTTATTAGGCAGGAATGTTTTAGAGATCATCCTCTACATCAGGGACAGCATGCATATAGAGCAGGCTTCTCAGTAGAAACAGCCCTCCATTCAGCAGTAGGTAGAATAGAGGGACAAATCAGCAGTGGTGGCTATGCGGTTGGTACCTTTCTTGATATCGAAGGTGCCTTCCCTAACACCTCTAGCAAAGCTATCTGTAGGGCAGCCAGGATGCGAGGTGTGCCCGAGCCGCTAGTTTAGTGGATCGACAGCATGCTTCGCGAAAGGGGCCTTGAAGCGAAGTATGGTGAGGCTAAGGTAACAGGCCTTGTCTCAAAAGGGTGCCCACAAGGAGGAGTCCTCTCTCCTTTATTGTGGTGTTTAGTGGCAGATTAGTTAATTAGAAACGTCAATAGCCAGGGATATTATACGCAAAGTTATGTGGATGATTTCCATATAATTATAAGAGGGCACTCAATTGAGACCCTCTTAGAACTTACGGAACGTGCACTTAAGATTGTCAAGGATTGGTGCAATCTGACTGGACTTTCTGTAAACCCAGAGAAAACGAATATATTAGTTTTCACAAGAAAATATAAGGTACCGAGTTTGAAGAAACCGATATTTTATGGAAAAGAAATTTCTTTTTCTAAATCGGTAATACTGGATAAAAAGTTGATTTGGAAGGAACATTTCGAATATCAGTATAGAAGGTTCTGTACTGCTTTTTGGGCGTGTAGAAGGGCGATAGGGTCATCGTGGGGACTAAGGCCTAATATGGTCAACAGGCTCTATTAGATGATCTTAAAACCCAGGTTTCTTCACGCGGTGGTTGTTGGGTGGTCTAGGACTTAACTGATAACGGTTAAAGAGAAACTGGACCAACTGCAAGCAATGATTTTCAGGGGTATTACGGGGGCAATGAGGACCACGCCAACAGCTGCGTTGGGATTCATGCTTGCCGAAGTACCTCTGCATATTGCCGTGGTGAAAAAGGCGGCTTTTACTATGAGCAGGTTAACCGCGCAGGGAAGGTGGAAGTTTGGTGGTATATACACCAAGCTTCCACGCTCAATTCTATCAATACCAGAATTAAGTATGGTGCAAGATAGAATCATCAATAGGGTGAAATTTAAACCCCGCTTTAAGATCATTACACCTTCCAGAATGGACTGGAAGAAAGGTTTTCCACTTGGGGATGAAGTCTGGTATATAGACGGCTCCAAGATGGACTGCGGTGCAGGCTTCGGAATTTATCGAAAAACTGGCTGCATTAAAGTGGCTGAGTCACTAGGACAATATCCCACGGTCTGGTAGACAGAGGTCGGTTCCGAGTCGGAATTCATAGGTCCTGAACCAGCAGTGGCAATAATGTCGTGCTTGGTTAAGGTAGCCATAGAAAGATGGGGTCAAAAGGAACATGAGAAGTGTTGGGCGAACGTTGGGGTGGGAAGGCAAGCGAAAACTCTGTTGGGGCTAGCACTCAACAAGAAGCGAGCGATCTCCTAAAACTCGATAAGATCAGAGTTAGAACGAGATGCTATAAACGAGCGAGCTGGAGTCTGGTACAATGGGTTTTATAATCTAGGTGCTTATTTTCCCCTCTTGAGGAAAATCCAGCTTAATCTCGGTTGTTAGATTAGATTAGAAGCGTGTCAACATTTACCAGCATTTTTTCAATTATTTTCTCGAATTCGTTTATGATTTGAAGTTTCATTATGTAGAAATAACTGTTTTCATAAGCGCCGGAATGAGATGCTGCGCCGAGTAATGAAAGTATTTCTTTCTTTACAGTCGTAAAATCGGGTTTTACGCAATTTTTCAAATAAATTTATTTTACATTGCCTCTTTTTTAAATGTTACCGAATTGTGCGAGTAGCCATAAGCAATCGTAAAGATTTGAATGTCCCCCCACTTCAATAAATGTTTATCGTTAAATTTTTCTAAAAATTTAGCTGGAAACTTTCCTGAACATTTAAATTCAATTGTTGACTAAACTTTCCAAGTAAATACTTCGAAGTTTGCAAGTAAATCTTTAATAAATTTTTAGGAAAGATTCAGTGCTGTGTGGGAGGTGAGCAAAATGAACAAAAAGTCGGCTTAAAGGTGATTGGCAGGGTAAAATAGGTGGGTGTTTAGCATCACGTACAAGTGAGGAATGTATGAGTCTGCCACCAACTCGTAATATTTCGTCTTTATCATCCACAAAGGGATTCAATTTCCGCAAATTATTGTATTTAGGTAACGCATTAGGACCTTTATCTGGGTTGAGCAATTTTATCTCTTCGTTATAAGCTTCGCCTTGAACTAGGAGAATAAATGAACGACGTGCATCATTTAATTCTTCGCTTGATAGAAACGATCTACATGGTAATTCTCCATTCTTTGACCTTTGGAGATTTATAAAGAAGCGGATGCACAAATCAGTTACGCGAATAGGAAGAGTAAGGGTAGAGAATTTGATCAAAATTTGATCAAATTTTGATCAAAATTTAAAAATTCAAAATGGCGGCTTAAAAATTTAAAAGTTTCCGTATTTGACTAAAAATACTCACTTGGGGGTTTTTGGGGTCACAGATTTCGAATATTTCGTTAATATTTAAATTTCAAAATGGCGGCTTTAAAAATTTTAGTTTCCTGATGTGACTAAAAATGCTCACTTTGGGGTTTTTGGGGTCGCTGATTTCAAATATCTGGTTAAAATTAAAAAATTTAAAATGGCGGCTTTAAAATGTCGTCCGAAATTTTTTTTAAGTTTTCGGATTTGGCTAAAAATGAGCATTTCGGGGTTTTTGGAGACACTGAATTAGAATATTTGGTTAAAATTTTATAATTCGAAATGGCGACTTCAAGATGTCAACTAAAAATTTAAAAGTTTACGAATGTGGTTATAAATAGTTATTTGAGTCTTTTGGGGTTTATATTTTTATATATGTATAATACATTTTACATATATTATATTTTTATATTTATATATATATATACTAGCTGTCGTACCCGTCTTCGACGGGTTTTAGTTTCTACCAATACATTTAAGTTTCTACCAATCTGGAAAATCAGGAAATAGCTAGGGAATTTAATTTGACCGGAAAAAAATAATAATTAGTTACCATTATAGCTATTTTAGTAGGAAAATATTACTATTTGAATCAGTGA